AAATAAAAAAGTGTGTAACCAAATGCAGGAAAATGAGACAAAAAACTATTAAAATTAACAACAAAATCTTTCCCCCCCCCCCCCCCCCAGCCCAAACGTTGTAAGTTTACATAGCTCCACAAAGCATGTACTTGAGTGACTTTTATTGAACATCAAAAATTTGAATAAATTTTTTAGATATTAGTAACATAGCCTTTCCCTAACCTACAAAAACAGTCTTGTTTAAAAAAAATGATAATTTTAGTAAAATATTAAAGATCCCATTCTTTACTCCCTCTCTAGTCACTAACTGGCTTTCGGTCATTTTACTATATTGACAATAGTTAAATGGGTGCAAAATATATTTTTGGCTTACTTTCCTGTTTTGGTGAGTTTATTTCAGTAATATAGTGAATTATAAACTTGTGTAACCAAATTCAGGAATATGTGACAAAAATTTATTAAAATTATCAACAAAATTCTTTTCACACCCCTCCCCAAACGTTGTAAGTTTACATAGCTCCACATAGCATATACTTGAGTGATTTTTATTAATAAAAAAAACCTGTATAAATTTTATAGAGATTAGTAATATAGTCTTTCTCTAACCCACACAAACAGTCTTGTTTAATGAAAATGATAATTTTAGTAAAATACTAGAGATTCCATTCTTTACACTTTCTCTGGTCATGAACAGGCTTGCAGAAAACTTTGAATCATATCAAAAAATTTTGTTTCCTAATTTTTGAAAATCTTCAGGACTTTTTTTAAGGTTGATAAATGAATATTTATAGCTTGTTAGTTTGGTGAACAGGTTTTGTTATGGAGAAATTTTTGTTAACTCAAGCAAACAAGATTATTAAAGATCATTGTAATAATATTGAATTGTGTGAAATTGTTGAATTTAAAACAAAACAATGGAGATTGTTTTCTTCAAAATGTTTTCCAATGTTGTAAACAAAATGATGAAATGTCAATATAGTGTAGAGTTTTTTTATCATTCAGTTGAGAAGAATTCCAGAGCCACACAGCATACTGCAGTGTCAGCAAGAAAGATCTCATGGGTTCCATGTGGGCATGATGGACATGTTAAGTTTGACTAGTTGATGAGAGAAAAAAAAGGGAATAGGAACACTATTGCACCTACCTACATTACTTTCAAAACAACTGAGGTTAGTTACAGGGCAGTGGCAACTTCACACTTTTATTGATGGATTCTGAAGACCATTACCAGATGTATAATAATCAAATATCATCAGAAATGAAGGGCACGTTAATTATTCCAAAGAGTGAAAGTAGTACAAATCAAAGGAAAATATTTTGATGGTAATCAATATGAGCTCACTCAGAGGTCACTCACAGGGGCCAGTCTTAACAGAATTGACAAGGTCATCATCCCTGTGCTTGACTTTATTAAGACATGTCATGTAGGTGGTGATGGAGTTAACTTTTGGATAATATATAAGGAATTATCTGTATCAATCATCTGCTGCTAATGTTATACATTCATTAGTCACTTCTAGGCTGGGATGTCCAGATGATAGGATTAAAAGATAACAATGCATTCAGAATATTTCAGCACAGCTTTTCATGTAACAGCCTAGAAACTCGTCACATTATTCCAGTTTTAAAGCAGCTGCATTGGTTATCAGTTAGGGCTAGAAATTTAAAATATTTAGTTTTTACACGTTGCATTCTCTTATGTAGCTCCAGCATATATAACTGATCTGGTAAAAAATCATAACTCCTACCGAAAATTGCCATTATAGCAGGGTAAAAAAAATATATGGTGACATGTAATTTTGTATAGCTTCACTGTTGGAGTGGAACAAGGTGTCAATTTACTGAAGGCAGATAGAAACAGAAATCTCTTATAAGGAATTAAACACACATTTTTAAAGATGTTTTATTGACGAATTTTGTTCAATTTTTAAAATATACATTATGTAAGGGAAGTATTGGGTCTTTTAATTACTGCTTAGTCAAACGTTTTAACATTTATAATTAATATAATATATATAACTGTAATATATATATATATATATCTTATAAGGTATTAAAAACACATTTTAAAAGATATTTTATTAATGAATTTTGTTCACTTTTGAAAATTTACATTAAGTAAGGGAAGTATTGGGTCTTTACTTTTAATTACTGCTTAGTAGTCAAACCTTTTAACATTTATAATTAATAAAATATATATAACTGTAATATATATGAGAGATCATGTGAGAAAATGTTGTGTGATCACAGTGGTCATTTTTTAATACCGCACTGGACATGTCTGAACTTAAATACATGTTTGGGAGGGAATGATACAGGGTGGGTTCCAACCTGAACAATAACTATTTTCCAACACCAACAAGAAAGGTAACTAGGTTTCCTACATGAAACCCATGTATAATTCCTTATACACCAAAAGTATGTGTTTGAGAATCTTTCAACTGTTATACAGCTATGTTTTACCTAACAATGTTGAAAGTGGTCACTTTATTTGGAATAAGTCATAGCTTCAAAACGACCCGAGTAAAAACATTTTCAACAGTCTGAATTGGTTTCTGCTAATACTTTGCAAAAGTTGATTTTCTGGTCCAACTATTGTACTATGCGATTAAAAAAAGTTACACCTATTCCCGCCTTAACCATTTCACTCTTGATCCCTTTAGTGTCTTTTGTCACTGCCTTGTAAGGTTTAATTACACTAATAAACAATGTACTACAAATTTTTTACTTTAATGTCTCCATTCAAGCTAAATATTCAATAAGACAACTAACTACACATAAATCAGAATCATCTTTTTATGCTTTCAAGACTATTACCAGCTGTTTCATTTTTACACTAGACTGTTTTGCTAAATAAGTATCACAAAAGATTCCTCACTGAAAACTGAAGTTCCTGCAATTTATAAAGTTACATCATTTCTGTAAGTAAACTTAGTATTGTGTTTTGGTGCTTTGTCTCCTGGAAAGCAGGGTAATTTCCATAGCCCACAAAGAAAGTCCTTTTCCTTCCAACTCTTACAAGTCACATGCCATCAGATGAAGTCTGTTCCACAGTGAATGAACTCGATTGGGATCCTGAAGTAATGATAGCAGTTTTGTTGTGCAGTAATAACGCCATAGGAGCTGCAGTAACCATGGGAAACAATTCCTGTTGTCCACCTGGTGCGATGAGGATTACTTCTGCCTGGTCTGTCTGGATCTTTGCAAAATTCGTGGCAGCAAACTGAAAGGTGGAAAGCAATATGTTAGTCTATAGCAGGTTCATGACTGTATCATACAATCAATGCTCAAAGTGTGGGGGTCAGGCTTCCATACGAAGTACTTTGATACCTTGTAATTCAGATATGATGCACAAAGGTCTATTTCAGTTTGATCTAAAATGTCAGTAATTTTTGTACACACATCTGGTCTAAGTGGTTATAAAATATTATTATGAAATAATTGTCTTTATTCTTTATCATCACAAACATTCTGCACACCAGGTAAATGTGATACTGATAGCCAAATATCTTGCTGAATGCAAAAATCCCATATTTTATGTGCCACTGCATTGCACAATTACCACCCATATTCCTCAAAAAAAAAAGCCACTGCAGTCAAATTATCAATTTCAACATGAATATGTTTACCCTTCAATTTTTTCTAACAGGACTTCAAAGCTAAGAGTATTGCTTTACCCTTTGAAACATTTTCTTTTGTTTCTTTTTTACACCATTGGCCACTTGTTTTAACACTCCCAAGTACTGCAGATCAACCTTTGAGAGATGCGTGCATCTCAATTTTCAGTTCAGGGTTTCCATGTGATATAAGTTTTGCTTTACTTGCATTGCTTAACCACCAGGTAATTTCAGTTATTGGTCTTGAGCTAAGATGATCCAATTTAGCTTCAAAATTCTCTCTGTTGTGTGCCAATGCTTTGATTTTAGTAAGTTTTTGTAGCTCTAGTGCATACCACCATATTCTACAACAGATATGCATGAAACCAGACAACCAATCAACTGCTTACAGTAAAATTCCCCTGTAATATTTTTCAATATAAATAATTTTTCAGCTCTGGTAGGAGTTAAACCAATTGCCATTGCTCTTCACTACTAGTAAATACTGACTGTTTGTTGTCAGAAATTTGCTCTTCACTACTATAATAAACACTGACATGTCGTCAGAGATTTGCTCTTCACTACTAGTAAACAATAACATGTCAGAGATTTGCTCTTCACTACTAGTAAACAATGACATGTTGTCAGAGATTTGCTCTTCACTACTAGTAAACAATGACATGTCATCAGAGATTTGTTCTCCACTACTAGTAAACAATAACATGTCGTCAGAGATTTGCTCTTCACTACTATAGTAAACACTGATGTGTCATCAGAGATTTGCTCTTCACTACTAGTAAACAATGACATGTCATCAGAGATTTGCTCTTCACTACTAGTAAACAATAACGTTGTCAGAGATTTGCTCTTCACTACTATAGTAAACAATGACATGTCATCAGAGATTTGCTCTTCACTACTAGTAAACAATAACTTGTCGTCAGAGATTTGCTCTTCACTACTAGTAAACACTGACGTGTTGTCAGAGATTTGCTCTTCACTACTATAATAAACAATGACATGTCGTCAGAGATTTGTTCTTCACTACTAGTAAACATGTTGTCAGAGATTTGCTCTTCACTACTATAGTAAACAATGACATGTCATCAGAGATTTGCTCTTCACTACTATAATTAACACTGACGTGTCGTCAGAGATTTGCTATTCACTACTATGGTAAACACTGACGTGTTGTCACAGATTTCCTCTTCACTACTAAACATGAGAAAGACAATCCGACTTTTTTTTTAATCCTCCATCTTCAGAAAGGATTTCCTTTATTTTACATCATAAAACAAATAATTCAAATAATTGGATTGATAGCACCTAGCCAATGTAGATACCTCTGTCTCTTTACCAAATCTAAAACAAAATATGGTTTGGTATTTATGGGGGCAAACATTAATTGACCAAAAAACAAAAAATTAGTGTAAATGTAAACTCACCATGCTGATCTTTTAAAGCAACCTGTTTCTTTAACAAACAAAGTCACTCAGTAAAAAAGTAAAACAGAAATATGGTTTGTCATGTAAATATTAGGCAATGTCACCAAAACTGTGCAAAAAAAAAAAAAAAAAAAAAAAAATTATTACTGTGAATGTAAACTGATCTTGCCGATTTTTGACCTGCTCTTACGAAACACAGTCACTCAGTAAATTTAAAGTAAAAAACAAGGCAGCAAAGCTGTCAAATGTACAGACAAAAAGCAGAAAATAACAATGCACAAAATAGGTTACTGTCAATTCTAATGCAAAAGTACATTATGCTTAACTGCAAAATTAACATCAAATTTTAATTATGCTCAACAGGTAATACCAATGTAAGTAAAATATATAACAAGCATAAGGCTTCAGGCCCATGGGGGTTCAAGTTCACACGTTGGAAATGCCAGAATGAGAAAAATGAAAATTTCACACAAAATTGCATAAATTCAACAATAAATGATAACCCAATTGAGCTGACTTTCTAATTTGAACTGCCTGCATGCCAATCCTAAAAATCATACTTGTAAGTTAAAAATAATAATAAGTAACACAGTTTTCTTTTCATATTTGTAGTAGCAGTGCAAAAAGATTTGTCAATTTTGATGTAACATTTCATAATAAATTACAGAATAATTATCACCAATTTTTAATTATTGACTATAAATAGCATGGATACAGAAAATTTGATTACATTCTGCTTCATGTCCATGGGAGCTCTGAGTCCCACAATGAATATGCCAACACGATAAAAATGAATATTTCACTACAATGTATAACTTCCAGAAAAAGAAGTCAATTAGACTGCTTTTCCAACTCAAGCTGCATTTTAGTCCTGTGTTTCTATTTTGACAGTTTGACAATCATAAGTAACATGGTTTTCCCATAATGGTCATCATGGCAGCAGCACCCAAAATTGTGTTTTCTTCTATTTTGATGCAAAATTACATAATGCTTAACGGCATAATGACCGTCATTTTTTTATAATAAAATATGCGTATCATGGATTTTCAGAAAATGTAACTAGCATGGGTCTTCAAGCTCGTGCAGGTTCTAAATCACACCTTGAAAATGCCAATATTTGAAAACTAAAATTTTCACAAAAAAAACTGTTTAACTGCCAGAAAAAAATTACCAAACAGACTGCATTGCCTACTGAAGCTGCATTTTAGTCACATATGTTTCTTTCCTGTAAGTTTGAGAACAGTAATTGACATGGTTTTCCCATAATGGTCATCATGGGAGCAGTGCCCAAAATATGGGTTTCTTCAAATTTTGATGCAACATTACATAATGTTAAACAGCATAATGACCATCAATTTTTAACAATAAAATATTAGTATCATGGGTATTCAGAAAATGTGACTAGCAAAGGTCTTCAAGCCCATGGAACTTCAAAGTCACAACTTGAAAATGCCAAAATGTAAACAAGACAGCACTGTTCTGAAATGGTTTCTTTTTTACATTTTTAACATTTTTTTAACATAAAACAAAATTAACAGTTTTATATGATCAACTAAGAAAATTGATGAGATGGGAAAAATATCAATAAAACAGTGTAAAATGTCCAATTTCTTCCATTCTGGTATTCTGAACATAGTGAATGATTGAATCTGACAAACTGCAATGATATGAGTTTATTTCCATTTTTGAAACTTTATTACACAATATACGATAACAAGTATACCATTATTTTTAAAAAATCAACTAACAATGTTCTAAAGATGCAGGAAATGTCAAATAAACACTTTTACGTATCTTATTAATTAAATAATGAGACTGTTAACATGCCTAAGAATTGAATCTGAGGAAATGTGAAAAAACAGCATAACTTCTAAAATAATGGCCCGATTATGCTGATTTTCGAACTTGACCTGCGTTTTAGTAAGATTGATTACTCCTGTGAGTTTCATGACAACAGGCCTAACGGTTTTCCTTAAAATGTGTTTA